CAACCTGGAGCTGAACACGCTCAAAACTGTGGAGATGACAGTGGACTTCAGGAAGAGCCCCCCCACCTTACCCCCACCATACTTGGCAGCACTGTATCAGCTACATTATCTCCCAGGACCTGAAGTGGACATCCAACATCAGGACCATCACCAAGAAGGCACAGCAGAGGATGTACTTCTTACACCAGCCAACGAGCATTTTGGGCCTTTCTCAAATTTTTTGACAATTGAGAAATCAGCTGAAGTGATAATAAAATAATATTAATTAGTTGTAGTCATTGCACCGTGACTGCATGCAACCCATTATGCTACCTGTGCAGACAGCTGCACTGAATAAAACCAAAACACATGACTGAAAACTGCATCAGAAAAGAAAAGTATCTAGTCGTGGGGAAAGATGTAGAACGCTCAGTCATAGCTGTGAGGCTCTGGCTGTGAATGCATTTTTAAATATGTGGTTGAAAGTGTTAAACCTTTGTTACACAGAAATGTTTACATCAATAGGGGATTCAACATTAAATGTTCTGATCTTTGACAGATTTGTATTCACTAAAATATTCTCAAATAACAGCATGGTGTACTGTAACTAAAGCAGCAAAAAGAAAATGAACACTGAAGGAAACGTCCAGAAAACACAATTTTGACTGTCTCCCCTCTGGACGGTGTCGTGGCTAGAGTGTGATACCGGCAAAATCAATTCAGACAAACCATCCCAATTTAAAGGATCATTTAATGTTACAATTATTCTGAATAGAGTAGTATTTAAACACATAATCTTGTAGTTAGGGAACAGAGAACAGAGATCAGAGAACAGAGACTCTCCTCTTACAATGGAATAGATAAAGCATAAGAAGATTGTCAGAGCACCAGTCAGTCGAAATACAGTTGATGTGAAAAAACTGTATGTTGGGCCTGAAGGAGTGTCATCTCTGGTTCACCTGCCAGATGACCTTCAAAACTTGTACATGTTGTCTGAAAATTCTGCTCCTCAAATTGCTTTGTTAGTGAGAGGAGGAGCTGATGCAAAAAATCTTGGACCCATGATTCACAGCTGTTTAAAAGCTATTGATTGGATGTGCACACAAAATGCACAGTTGCAGTTCTCTCCTTCGACACAATGCTATGCTGTTGAGCACAACTCACAGCTCACATTAACACTGGAGAAGTGTTTACTGAACAGAAATCATAAGAGAGAAAACATTGATCATCCACTGACACAAACATTGTTGGACAGTTTGCCTCCATCTCTTTGGTCCACTGGTCCCACGGACGTCGGATTACTCACAGTGGTCCCTGTCATGACCACTTTGCGTGAAGGGGCTGTGCCCGTGTACCGAGCCCAGTACCCGCTCAAACAGCAGCAAGTAAGTGGTATTGAGAAAACCATTCATGGACTTTTGGAACCTGGAGTTCTGACTCACTCATTCTCCCTAGAACACGCCCATACATCCGGGTCACGGCACCAGTTGTAGCATTCCGATTCTTTTAACCATGCTAACTCTGAGAGACGAGGCAGTCCAAGTAGCTTCAAAACAGTGCTGATTTATTCAATGAACACAGGTAAAAAATTAACATTACACGCTCAGGTATCTTGCACCTCCAACATGCATGCAGACAGCTGAAAGATGAAAAACTCTTGAACCCAACAGACCTATACATTTATCACTTAGGTTGGGCTAGCCCCATACTAACAGGAACGCCAAACCATGATGTGTCCCGGTGCCAGCTTTGCAGCTGACCATGGCAATAGTCAAAACATGAAGCAAATCAATGTGTGTGTGTCTGTTGATTGTGGTGTGTAGCTAAAAACATTCTAACACGACCTCTAGTGACATGTCATGACATTAAACATAAGAAAATATTATGGCTATGGCTACAGTTATACACATCATAATAATAATAATATTAAACATCCTGTCTGCTGACAGTCAAACTTTTCTATCTAGTTATCCTTGACCATAAGCATCCTGCAGCATTCATGAGACTGCCTAACTAGACATCCTGTCTACTCTAAACATTCCTAATACAACAAGTATCTGACCAATATCTATCTGACTAAAAATACCTAACAATACCTTGTACATATAAATCAGTAAAATGCATCTAGACTGTCTGTATATACAGGTCTTGTTTCACAATGAGCACTCCTTTGTCTCTGCATTGTTTACTGCCTGTTTATACTGCTTATTTTGCAAGACACTGAACCCCCAAGTTGCCCCCGATGGTTAGAGCCATCGGTTGAGTTGGCACCGCAGATGGCTGCCTCGGTTCTGTACCGGAAACAAATTCCTTGTGTGTAACATACTTGGCCAATAAAGGTGATTATGCTTATCCTTATCATTATGTCCAGTAGTTTATGAATGAACAGCACATAGCGTACCTCCAGAGGTCCATTACATGCAGTGTTGTGTGAACAATATGCAGAGCAAAGGATATTGTGACGGTGTTCCTTATGCCCTTGTGTAGCAAAAACTATCAAGACCTTACTTACACCCCCTCCTATATTATGCATTTCATGTGCTAAATGAGCAGCTGCCACTATAGAAATGTACATGCTGTGTCACTCTGTGCAGCCTTATCAACATTAATTTGCTCAAGTAGCAGTGAGTAAGGGTGTAAATTGTCACTTTCATCACAATATGATCCTATATTGCTTCTCTTAGCCAGTTATCTGATGATTGATGATACTTAAAAATATACCACAATACAATCTTGAGTCAGGGGCCTTTGATTGATATCAAGCAATATTATCTGCCTATTTCACATAATTATATTTTTATAATGTAACAAAAAATTATTTTTTTTCAAATTGAGCTCTTCTGTTCACTTTCAAGAGCTATTTAAATACAAATAAGGAACAATGATGACCTTACAATTCAACAAACTCTTTTGAGATAAGCATTTACAGTCACACATACAGAAAAACTGAGAAAAAAAAAACATATTTCCTATATTGCAGTGGGAGTTTTGTTTAAAACATAACATTTACATTTTCTGTTGTGTGTGTCCTTTTTCAGTCAAGAATACTTCCATACTCACAACCTGTTTCTGATGGGAGCTTTTACTTTATCTGTATATTTTTTCTGACTGCTTCAGGTTCCAATTCTCATAGAAAGTGTTTTGTCACTCGCCCCTCTCAAGCAACAGACAGAACTCCAATCTATCAAATATGTCAGTCCACACTGACTCAGAGACATGTGTGAGATGCGTCACTCCTGGAGCCTCCATGTTTTCTATGCTTCAAGTCTATTTGTTCTTTCCGTTGCGTTTGTCCAGTCACTGCCACTGTGATGCTGCACAGAGGTTGAAGTCGGTGTGGATTAAACAGGTCAAACGCTGCTCACATCTCACTTTTATTAGCATGAACTTCCAGTCTCAGAATGCTAGCTGCACCGCTTGGAGCTTGTTGTCCACTTTGAAGAGAACAGCGCTTCATCAGAAATGTGTACTTATGTCGGTGACTGTCAAAGTAAAAGCACCCAAAACATCTATGTTTATATTATTTTGCATCATTATCAGATCGCGGGGTGTCTGATCAAAGGATGAATCCAGCTTGTTGGATCATTATATCCCTAGCAGTGAGCTTGTATATGCCATGCATCTGTGGCATCTGTGCACCTTGCACAGTGTACATTAGAGATGTAACCAAATTTACTTTTTAGACATTAACAGATAATGTGCTCTGAACGAGTGCAGTGCAGTAGATCTTTTTCCCCTGTTAACTATATTGACAGTTCAAATTTCGCACCTCTTCATCTCAGTCATATCTTTAACATATCTGAAGATGGTATACACTCAGTGGTCAGTTTATTAAGTACACCAAGCTAAAAGAAAGTCATTCTGATCCAACAGTCCTGCAGTAAATCCTCCTTCATGAAGGTGACGGTGTTCATTTTGTGAATAAACTGTTTCGGAGAGAAGTCAAATCAACTGTGTGATCATTTTAGAAGCTTGAGTGTGTGCTGCTGTGGAAGTGTACTGCATTATACTGACAGGTGTTTCTGTTACTTTGTCCACCCAATGTATTTTGTGTAGCCACATTAATATAACAGAAACACTTTTCAGTTTATTACCATTTTACCCTTCAACTGTTGGACTTTGTGTTTGTGTGTCTTTTTGTGTGTGTGTGTTTATTTGTTTGCTCTGTCAGTGCTATCTGAACAACAGCAACCACAGCTGTTATACAAAGCTGTCTTGTCTCAAAATGACACTTGTCAACCTCTGATGGAAATGAAGAGTAATGGAAGATGGCAGGAAAGTAATGGAGATTCTCTCAAGGGGTGTAATGTTGCACACTACTAGTTTATTCACCCTCATTTCTCTGTTTGGTTGGTTCAACCCAACTTTACCTCACTACTGGAGGCACCTTTGTTTGTAATGTTTGCCCATCATGAGCTGAATTGGAACAGTTAAATCTCTATGTAGTTTCATTTAAATGCGACTTTCACCTATTTTTAAAATTTAGTCTGGCCTGAAGACACTGTCGGTATTAAATACATTTATAACTACCTCTAACTTGTTGATGTATGTTCATTTGTGATTGACAGGGGAATAAAGAGCAAGCCTTGTGTGTTATCCCTGTTGTCACCTCCAGTAAGGAAGAGGAGAAGCTCATCCAGTCTTCTACCAAGGTGAATACATAGCAGTCACTGGAATTGAAGCATTATAAAGAATATACAGGGTTATTCAAAAAGAATGAACCGATTTCATTACGCATTGCTTCAGTTCTCAAGCATCGTCATGGAATGATTTTTTCTTGTGGGGATATGTAAAAGGTCGCATTTATGTTGCACTGCTACCCACTAATCTCGATGACCTTAAACATCGAATAACAACAGCGATCAACTCAATCGATCATGATAAGCCAATATGCGCCTGGGAGGAATTCTCTTATTGCACTGATGTTGCCCGTGCTGCAGGTGGTGGCCACATTGAACACTTGTAAGACAGGAAATAAAAGTTGATTGTGAGTAGAACACTTGTGACTTGGCTGGAGTTTTGTATTACTTTTCTTTAATAAAATATTGCGTAATGAAATCGGTTCATTCTTTTTGAATAACCCTGTATAATGACTGAATCTAAAAATAATATATACTGTATCTCCCCATAATAAAAATCCAGATTAAAATGCTCTTGTGACTAATCTTTGGGGGAAATTATGTTTGTCAATTAAAAGCTAAAATAACATTAGCCATAACTGTTGATCTCAACTATTCAGCAACTGTTCCAAGGTAAAGATAACATTACTTTTTTTCTTCATGGGAATACACCTAAATATTAACAGGGACATTTTCTGCTTTCTTGTCATAGTATTCCTACCAAATGGATTATACTTGAAGTTAATTCATAGTTGGCACATTTAGATATTAAAGCAAAAATCTTTTTTTCTTTGATAGCCTGTGGTAAAGCTCGTCTACAACAGAAGCAATAACAAGTATTCCTACACGAGGTAAGGGAACCTTCCTCCAGTGGTCCCACTGCATCCTTTGTTCTGTCTCTTTTTCTTTGGACTAACCAAGTTTGAGTCACAGGCCCCAGAGTAAATGCTGAAGCACTTCTGCTTCACACCAGTTTGCTTTTGTCTCAACAGTAACTCAGATGACAATCTGTTGAAGAACATTGAGCTGTTTGACAGGCTATCTCTCAGCTTCAATGGCCGTGTCCTCTTCATCAAAGATGTGATTGGAGACGAGATCTGCTGCTGGTCCTTTTACGGCCTGGGGCGCAAGCTGGCAGAGGTGTGCTGTACCTCCATCGTCTACGCCACAGAGAAGAAACAGACCAAGGTGAGGACGCAAGAAGTCACAATCACTGGTTTTGACAAAGATAAAGATAAAAAATTTTATGTATGGTTCTATGTAATTGAGGGGAGGACTTCTTGAAATTTAATTTTCTCAGATACATTTCTCCTAGAGCAGGGGTTTTCAAAGTGTGGGAATGTAAGCCTCCGCACATACCGTATATACAGTCATGCCCAAAAAATATATATATACATATTAAGTATTGGCTTCTTTAAGAAAAAAAACTGTATCCAAAGTTCTACATTCACGCTTAAATGGGATACTCTTACCTAAATTATTTACCAATTAATCCTCTGTCCATTCAAAAACTGAAAACAGACACAACAATAGCCTTTCTAAAATGACCTTAATTCAACAAAATCATACGTTGTAAAGCCTATTTGTGCAGTTTTACTGTTTTCTTCTCGTGCATTGGTTTGCTAAGCTCATCAGCCAGTCCGAGTGGTCTCTTTCTCACCGACAATGCCATCGGCTTGCAGGTGTCTCTACCCTAACACTCTGTGACAGTGGAGCATTATCAGGAAGGATACATGAAAATCCATATTTTAAAGGGGAGGCAACAGTGGTGCAGTGGGTAGAGCAGTCATCTCCCAACCAGAAGGTTGAAGGTTTGAATCTCGGTGCCGGCAGTCCATGTGTGGAAGTGTCCTTGGGCAAGACACTGAACCCCCCCATTGCCCCCGGTGGTTGGAGCCGTCGGTTGAGGTGGCACCGCAGATGGCTGCCATCGGTTCTATACTGGAAACAAATTCCTTGTGTGTAACATACTTGGCCAATAAAGATGATTATCCTTATTATCCTATCCTAAATAGTCATCGGCATACTTCCTCCCGACTCTGCTCCCCCAGACTCAGTCTCCTCTCTCACTGTGCAGTAGGTACTGCAAATCGATCCACTTTGCCCCACACATAGCTGAGCTAAAGTTTGATGTTTATAGTTATTTTTTCTGGTTTCTTTTCTCACACTGCGCCTCCCCAGAAGTTCTCTGCAACCACCCCCACAGTGGAGACTGTCCCTATGGAATAATGTCTGTACTACATAACTGTCAAATGTGCTCCTGCTTGTCAGTTGTCATGACGTTCACTTCCTGCTGTTACCAAGATGTTCTCTGCAGTTGAGCACACCCCTGTACACTTTTGAGCGCATTAGGTACACAATGGACTGCTTTAAGTAAGTCAGTTTTGTGCTGTGCTACCACGGCAGAACATGAACTTTCACTGCACTATGACACATACTCATAAAACTCAGTATTTTGTACCAGTCCATACTTAATATAACATACAAATAAGTAATTCCACCTACTCATGATCCACAATTGGATCATGAGTAGGTGAGAATTCTGACCTTGCTGTTTATGCAAATTTACCGAAAGCTGAGATCTGTGAAATTGTGAATAAGATGTACACCATCAGATCTGCATAATTACAAACCTCAGTTCCAATGAAGTTGGGACATTGTGTAAAACATAAATAAAAACAGAATACAAAGATTTGCAAATCCTTTTTGACCCATATTTAATTGAATACACAAAAACAAGATGTTTAATGTTTAAACTGATAAACTTTATTGCGTTTTGCAAATATTCACTCATTCTGAATTTGATGAACACATTTCAAAAGACCTGGGACAGGGGCAACAAAAGAGTGGGAAAGTTGAGGAATGTTCAAAAAACACCCGTTTGGAACATTCCACAGGTGAACAAGTTTATTGGAAACCAGTGAGCATCTTGATTTGAAGAGGAGCATCCCAAAAGGCTCAGTCATTCACAAGCAAGAATGAGGCACAGTTCACCACTTTGTGAACAACTGTGTGAGCAAATAGTCCCACAGTTTAAGAACAACATTTCTCAACCTACAATTGCAAGGAATTTAGGTATTTAATTATCTACGTCCATAATATCTTTAAAAGATTCAGAGAATCCGGTGAAGTCTCTGCATGTAAGTGGTAAGGCTGTAAACCAACACTGAATGCGTGTGATCTTCGATCCCTCAGGCGACACTGCATTAAAAACAGACATAATTTTGTAAAGGATATTACCACGTGAGCTCAGGAACACTTCGGAAAACCATTGTCAGTTAACACAGTTTGTTGCAACATCTACAAGTGCAAGTTAAAGCTCTACCATGCACAGCAAAAGCCATACATCAACAACACCGCCGGCTTCTCTGGGCCCAGGCCCATCTAAGAAGGACTGATGCAAAGTGTGCTGTGGTCTAATGAGTCCACGTTTCAAATTGTTTTTGGAAATCATGGACTTTGTGTCCTCCGGGTTAAAGAGGAAAAGGACCATCCAGATTGTTATCAGTGCAAAGTTCAAAAGCCAGCATCTGTGATGGTATCTGAGTGCGGGTACTAGACTGGCCTGCCCCTCAGTCCAGACCTGTCTCCCATTGAAAATGTGTGGCGCATAATGAAGTGCAAAATATGACAACGAAGACTCCGGACTGTTGAGTAACTGAAGTCGTACATCAAGCAAGAATGGGAAAGAATTCCACCTACAAAGCTTCAATAATTAGTGTCCTCAGTTCCCAAATGCTTATTAAGTGTTGTTAAAAGGAAAGGTGATGTAACACAGTGGTAAAAATACCCCTGTCCCAGCTCTTTTGGAACGTGTTGCAGGCATCAAATTCAAAATGAGTGAATATTTGCAAAAAAACAATGAGGTTTATCAGTCTGAACATTAAATATCTTGTCTTTGTGGTGTATTCAATTAAATATGGGCCAAAAAGGATTTGGAAGTATTCTGTTTTTATTTACGTTTTGCACAGTGTCCAACTTCATTGGAATTGGGGTTTGTATACTGGCACATAACTTTTCTTTTATAAATCACAATGAATGCATTCCACTACACACCCACAGTTTATCATAAATGATAAAAACAAACCCTTATGATATTGATGTCCAGATTGTTCTTGTTGAAAAGTAACAGTATTTTCAGAATGTTTAAGAAACTGATTGTAGCTGTTAACACAGTCACTGTAACTTGGATATTTCCAGAAATGTAAAAAAAAAAAAAAAAAATTTTAAAAAGTTGCCAAACATTAAGGTGGATGTCAAGAAGAGCATTTTTGTACACATAACTAGTGAAAGCAACAAGCCACCAGACCATGTCATTCCTTGATATTTGTTTTGTATTTAATGTACATAAACACGTACATGACCGAGGACATCACAAATACTTAGCACTCTATACCTCCACAGTGCAGCGTGCAGGTGTTTCTCATACTTGATCGTTTGAAACAGAATTTGTGGCCGAATATCTCTCCCAGATGAATGTCACCTGAGCAAGCTGAGATATTTCCACTTATTAAGGTTCCAGATCCAGCCCCTGACCCTAATGATTCTACTACTAGAACAATGTTAGTGTACAGACCGTGGACAGATAAAGATGTTGCTGATGCTGTAACAAATTGACTCACAGTCAGTTTTTGAATGCAGGTGAGGTGACTGGAGAAGGGTGTAGTATATGGTCTTATACTTGTACAGCACTTTTCTATGCATTGCAGCACACTCAAAGCGCTTTCACACTACTTGGCCATTCACCCATTCACACTCCCAAGCAGTCATGCATACACACTTGGTGACATCACTGGTAGGACCTGGGGCTTCAGTGCTGTGCTCAAGGACACTTCAACATGTGGACTGGAGAAGACGGTAAATGAACTGTCAACTTTCTGGTTAGGAGAAGACTTGGTATGTGTGTGTGAAATACACTGCAGCATTTGTAGTGTGTTCCGTGTACTTGGCTGCATGTTTACAGAATCAGTTCTGCACAAAAACGCTACATGAACACTACTGTAAATTGCATTGTGTAATAAATAAATAGTAATATACATTCAAAAACTTGTAAAGAAAGGATGTCACACTTCATGATGTCAGTGGGAGATGGTACTCTGAATGATTCTATCAAATGCCTGACAAACAATAGTTCAAGTCATTGCATGCTTTTGGCATAAAAGTTAACTCTGTGCAGTAATTTGTAGTAAACTAATGTTGACAGACAATGTGGGTGAGAAATGCTGTCTGTTCTCCTATAAGGTGGAGTTTCCTGAAGCTCGTATCTATGAGGAAACTCTGAACACCTTGCTGTATGAGGTGATGCCGCTGCCCGATAACTCCCTGCTGGAGGCCACTCGTCGAAGCTACAACAACTGTGGCTCTCACAGTGAGGAGGAGGAGGGGCCCGGAGGAGCTGAGCTCCGCGAGCGTGTCCGTCGGATCCACGTGAAGCGGTACAGCACGTACGATGACTGGCCACTGGGACACTGAAGCTACAAATCACTGGACAGATGTTGGCTTTTCACAACGATGATGAACATTCAAACACGAAGTCTGTTCATACTCATATGTTTCTATTTTGAATTTTTATATTGTCTTTTTGTTTTATTATCTCCACCACTATCTAAGAAAAGTCTGAAATGTGGCTTTGATATATGTGCATGTGACTTTTTATTCTAGGTAGTTGTGGTGGTTTACTATAGTTAGTAGTAGTGTCTGCCCTGTCCATCATAACTTAATAATTATTATCAGTGGACTCAGCACAACTATTCATGACCAGAAATATTGGCACCCCTGTATTTCTGTCAGATAACACACCACTTCTCCCAGAATATTGTTGTACTCGCAAATTCTTTGATATTCTCATGTTTATTTGGAACAACAAGAAAAAAGCCCATTCTGATACACAAATCTGAAAGACCTGGAGCAGCTGGCAAAAGAAGAGTGGTCTAGTAGAGAGGTAGAAGAAACTCAAGTGATATGTTATTTTGTCCAAAGGGTGTGCTATCAAATTAAGTTGAGGGTCAAAAATTCTGTCCAGGTCATTTTTGAAGTTCTTTGTGGATTTGGATTTTTTCTCTACTTTTTATGTTGTTCCAATGCAAACCGAAGAAATAAACATGAGAATACCAAAAGACTTTGTGATTGCAACAATTTTCTGGGAGAAAGTGGTGTGTGCTATCTGACAGAAATGCAGGGGTACCTAGAAAATGCCTAGAAAAGTGTTTATATTATTAATGTTTGAGTAGTGGAGGACAAATCACTAATGTTCACTACTTTTTGTAGATGAAATATTGTTACAGTCATTGCACTTGCACTCTGAATCAACAGGATTCATATTCATAGCTAGTATTCATATGCATTTATAAAATTTAAAGCAGTTTGCCAAAGATTAATCTGTTTTAGTGTTACCTGAATAAATGTGTCTAACATGTTTGAATACAGTTTACCATAAAACATGGCAGCTCTCGGAAGCGGTCAACACACAAGTCTGTCCTCCCCTGGTGGTTGGTTGCAGTATGGTCATAAAACTCGCCCCTTACATGTTAACAGATGGGACATGAGTCGAGCTAAGAATTCAAAGTACAAGTCAAATATATTTTTCCCAAAGGTGATTTCGGCCATTTTAGATATGTATTATGCTGATTTGTGTACAAGTAATTTTTCTGAAGTTTTTTTTTTTCATAATAAATTATTTGATGTATATAAAAAGATGTAAGAAAGACACTTTTGGCTATTCCCATTTAGGGGTCGCCATAGCAAATCGTCACACTGACGACTCACATGTTGACATTTGGCGCGTTTTTTACGCCAGATGCTCTTCCTGACACAACCTGGATTCGAACCCGGGGCGCTGTGGCGAGAGCGCTGCACCGCCTATGTAAAAAGATGTATTTTAGCTTATTTGACAATTTTGATTGTCGCCTGGCTACCGCAGCTCACATAATCCATCCATACATCAATTTCTCTGTACTATTTATTCCTGAACAGGGTCGCAGGGGGGGCTGACATTGGTGAGAGGCGGGGTCCACCCTGGGCAGGTCACCGGTCTATCACAGGACTGACAACCACACAAACTCACTCACTCCCATGGGCAATTTAGAGTCTCCAATCAACCTAAGCTGCATGTCTTTGGACTGTGGGAGGAAGCTGGAGTACCCAGAGAGAACCCATGCAGGCACAGGGAGATCATGCAAACTGCACAGAAAGGCCCTGGGTTGGCCCAGGTTCAAACCCAGAACCTTCTTACTGTGAGGCAACAGCACTAATCACTGTGCTCCCCTGTGGTATGTAATATGGTTGCAAAATGTGTGACAAAAGATGGCAGCCTCTATATTTTGGCTTCAGTTTTGCATAGTAGCAGGAAGTGGTGTAGTGGCTATGGTCAGAAACAAAGTAATGAACTTGGAAAAAGTTGACGAGGAACCAGTAATGCCTTGTTTCATGTTGACTATATATTTTTAAAAGCTACACCAAAAGGTATAATACTTAATATTTCAGCCTGGATTGAATTGATTATACTTGTGGTTACTTTTAGTACCAAGTGTTTTAATGTAGTATTTAGCAAACACTGCCTGAAATTGAACAGAGGACCAATTGGTCTACAATTCAAATCATTGTGTGGATCCTGTAAAGCACACTCTGAGTCACGTGACTCCCTGATTTAGCTTGTCTCTGTGTTTTTTCAACTATTCCTTGCCGGTTTTCTGCTTTCATTTTGCTATCCTTAAGCTTTATACACATATACTACATAAAATCGTAGAGAAAATTGTCACGACTGTGACATTGTTATTGCGATGGGATGGACGGTATTTGTGTAAGCCGCACATTCCAGAGAGTACTGTCTCACTGTTCCATAGACTTCCAGTCAAAAAGACGCTTCACAAGATCCGCTGAAAGGAAACGTCAGGGTATTTGTAAATCACCGCAGTTCCTTCATTTTGTTGAATATCTTGACATAATACAACAGTCGAATAACACAACAGGGTGCTGTATACGTATGAAACTGAATGCAGATGTCAGGTTTGTTCGACACCACCTCTCACCTCCCTCTCTCTCTCTGCAGACACTCCCAGCGGAGCTCACAGCTGATTCTCATCAGCTGATTACAGGGCTGGGCATTTAAGAGCGGCTCAGACGCAATGACACCACCAGTTTGCTTCATCCTGCTATGCAGTTTGGCCACAGAAGATGCTACAATCTACTGTTTATCTCTTCCGTACAACGATCGCTACTATAACGAGCTCGAGCCTTCCAGCTCCGCTATTTTCCATCGTGTTTATAGCCTTATACACAGCAGTCTATAAAACAAAATATGCTTGAACCTTGGACAATAATTGCATACCTTGAGCACTGCTAGAGGGCAGGAAACCAGTTTTAGTTCAGTTTGACTTAATAAAGACACATTCTGGAAAGTTCCACTTTGAAGTGGAGGGATGACAGAAGACCTGATGAAAAACGTTAATGTAAATGCCACTATAGTTTTATTACAAAAGACAGAATACAGCAACAACAGTGTCAAATCTGAATAGATAAACACAATTAAAAACAAATGTAGTTTTTTTTTTACAAATAAATAGCACTGACCAGCAGGAAGTACAGCATTTCTCTATGCAGTCCAGATGGGTCAAATTTTGATTGATAGTTGAGATTGTGCTGCAGTTTTTTGGTTTGTTGCACCATAATGTCTTGATTGTGTTAATCATCAGACTATTGGAGGAGATGAGCTGAAGGCTGAAGCAGTGAAGACAGTAGAACTGTGTTTCCAGTTTCAGAGAAAACAAGTAAAAACAAACAAAAAAGACAGAAAAAAGAAAACTTAAACTATCATTAACCAGGTTAGCCACCCTGCCACTGTAAACCCCAACCCACCCTGATATTTTTGATTTGATTTGATTTGATTTATTGCATATAAAACAGTTGATATAACAACACACATTTTTACACACAATCCAATATCAATTTCATGCTTGAATGGAGTAGGAAGAAGTCAGACTTATCCAGTCCTACCCCATGACATCATCTTACCATCATTGGTTTGCAAGCAATAAATGATTCACTTCTACACACACACATATTATACTAAAAAAGAATATAACAGTGTTAACATTCTTACATCACACAAGTGATATACTAAAGAATGGTTACAAAATATACACCACACCCACAATAGTCCATGTAATTAATCATTGAGCCTGTTCTTGCATATATCTTGATTGACACATACCTTTATATTTACGTTTAAACTCGTCAATTCTATTACTATTTTTTTATGTCCGCACTTAAATTATTCCATAGTTTTACCCCACTTATGGAAATACAAAATCTTTTTTTGGTTGTACGTATAGCATGAACTTTTAAATTTAACTGACCCCTTAAATTGTATCCCCCTTCCC